TTGTGAGTATTTATTACACGGCGTGCTGCGGGGAAAAGCCTGTTCTAACGTTTGAGTCTAAGGTTTATTTTTTAGCACCTGCGGCTCTTTTTTCTTCTCATCCGTAATTCTGCATACTCTTCACGTGATTCAGTTTATTTTGAAAAGTCTCAACAGGATCTTGAGCTTTATTGTGAAAGGTTTATGTGGAAATAAACAAGCGGACACGCGATGGTTTTACCGTCGTTGTTGCTAACGACAACGCATAAAAACAGGCGCTTGTCCGTCGTAGTGTGGTTATATTAAATATAAGAGAAAGAGAGAACTTTAAGAAATTAATATAGCCACTACAGTGACCATCAAAACGATGAAAAAATATTGCCGTAAACAGTTTATTTTGCGACACCACGAAACAAACGATAGCGTAAAATGAAACAATAGATGTTTTTATATCGTCATCCGATATATAGATAGATAATAGATAATATATAGATATATAGATATAGATAGATATAGATATGATAGATATAGATATAGATAGATAGATACGATAGATAGATATAGATAGATACATATATAGATAGATAGATATATAGATAGATATATATATAGATAAGATATATAAATATATATAATATATATATATAATAGTATATATATATAGATAGTATATATATAGATAGATATGATAATATTCTCGTTATATCGAACAGCCCTATCTGGGATAACATAATGTCTCCCACAAGAGAGAAAACCAATAAACAATATTGCAGCCATCTAGTCGCAAACAAGAAGGCATCCCTTACAGGAGGGATGGAATTGTGTGTTGCAGTCACAAAGAAAGGTAAATGCCATTCTGTGTGACTATTACAACTCTGGAAAATAGATTCAGAGGCACATTGAGGCGATAAGGACCCACACTGTCTGAGGATCCTTCCTGCTGTGTAGGTTGCATTTGTGTTTGTGTGAAGCTCAGTAGAGCCCCTGCAGAGGTCTGAGGATTCACTGTCACCGGTTTGTTAATAACTTATAACAAAGCCTGCAGGGGCTCTGCCTCAAACCACACACATACACACACACACGCACCACCTGACATTGATTGTGGGTGTGTGTGTGTGTGTGTGTGTGTGTGTGTGTGTGTGTGTGTGTGTGTGTGTGTAAGAGGGAGACTGTGGTTGTGAGCTTTCACGTGCGAGGCCTAGTATGTCCTGCCAGCCTCTTGTGTTTAGTGGTTTGCGAGCATGTGTTTGTCATAAAATGAACTGCTGATGTCAAACTGAACAGTTTCCTCCAACAGTTTGTGCAAACTGATTGACTCACTTACACTGTGATACAAACACACACACAAACATTTCATCAGTGGGATTTAACAGTGTGAGTCAGTGTCAACTAACAAGAAGCTCAACCCCAGTCGATGGTGTAGGCTCCATCTCTCGCTCTCTCACACACACACTCACACACAAAGATTGCCTCCTTTTAAGTGCAGGAATATTTCTTATTCTCGCAGGACTCCATTTTTCCATCTCTTGTTCACAACAGGAAGGAGCTTCTCTCTAATAATGATGTGATGTAATTACCCTGGAATGTACTGCGTGTACAGCACTTCAGAAACTAGTTTGTCCACGAAACAAATGCATAACAGAGATTTCTCAAAAATAAAATGATCAAACCTCTTGTACAACATCAAAACATAACAGGAAAATTTATACTTGAAATAAAACACCATCTAAAAATGTTCAGATGATGCCTGCACATCTCCTAAAGCTGAGTGAACCCTGTGAACACAACAGAAGTCGGACTCGGGCTGCGATACTGACTGTTTTGTGAGAATCACTAAGCATCTTTATAGACGCATAAATCACTCGGGTCATAAACAAATAGGCTGTCTGCTGACAGCAAGGATCACTGCCAGGAAAACACACACATATGCAAAGTAATCATGTGGACCCTATAAAAGGAGTGGAACAAGTGCAGCGAATTATCATATCTGAGGTTTTTTATTCTCACGAGTCAACCGCACACTGGATGTTGATGTAAACATAAGAGTAAAAAAAATTACGTCTGCATATAAACATACAGTTCAAAGTATGTGCAGTGAGTCAATCTATGAAAACAAGCAGAGATTTATTGAAAGTATTTCTCCCCTTATCTAAAGACGTCACAAACCGTCTTTGGACTCTGCATTTTGAAGTCAGAAAAGACCATATTTGGATCAGAAGATGGTTATCAGCTAAGGCGAGTGGGCTTGGTCAATGAGTCGTATGAACTGCTGAAGAACAATAATAAAATAGTAGAATTTTACACACAAAAGCAAACTTCATGGACGACCTATTTCAATATGGCAGTCAATGGGACCTCGCATTTAGGGCTCACTTCAAGTGGCCATTAAGGGAACTGCAGTTTCTGGTACCGACTTTATTTTACAGCCTTGTGACTGAAACAAACTAAAAAGGGACATATTATTTAGGGGGGGGGGGGTTAAAAAACAAAAACAAATGCAGAATCGTATTAACCTCCTTCTCAAGTTGCAAAGACATGTCAGATTGTAAAAGGGAAAACGACTGTCTCTCACTTGCTTTATAATCTCAGTAAAACATTCTCATGAGTTTGAAGTCTCAAATGTTAGTTGCAAGTCTTATTTAGTATAGCACAATGTTCATTTTCTAAACTTTGGTCCCATTTAGAGCAAAGTAGACAATAAAGCACAGCATGCTTTAGGCCAGACCTACGCTGAGACTGGCAAGTCATGAACACATGAGCACGTAATATCCTTGGTTTCTCAATCAGACCAACTTCTCGCTTGCTGCATCTGGTTTTAGAAAACCATTATGGCAGCTCAAGACTTCAAAATGAGACTACACAGATCGGTGGGTGATCTCCTATGTCCCGCTTTTATATAGTGTGTATGGGATCAACTATAGAATCTGGTGTTATGTACTCTGTATTGCTTAATGAGGGCTCGAGCCAGGAAAGTCCGATGTGTCACAATGTGTTGCAGTTTTATTTGGGCAATAAATAAATTAAAGCGGAACCCCGGCGAGTGCAAGCCATTTTTTTTCTTTTGCTTGCACCTGCCCATGTTTTAGTGTGGATTAAGTAATCTCAGCTCTTTCCAAATCCATATCCCTGGATTTTCTTTTTTTTTTTGGTAACTTGAGGCAACCCATCAAACTTCACAAATCTCTGTTTTGTGTTTGCACACATCAGAAAAGTACTGTACTGTGTACTGTGGGTTCAGCATTACTGCTTGGTCCCTAGTTAGAGGCTTCTGTGGTATCTTTCTATGCAGAAACCAGAGGTGGAAAATTGTAAGCCCCGCATGCTTACAGTAAATGCCACCGACTTATTCCACATGTGGGGTCCACAAAAGCTACAGTATCCGGCCTCCCACCGGGAAAATCTCACAGAGGAGAATGGAGGGGAGAAAGCTGAAATAGATCTCCGGATTAGTGAACCCTGCTAATGACTGTTTGGGAACAATGACATAAACGATCTCTGGGAAATATGTGTGTGTGAAAGAGTGACATTAAGACAATGAAGCGTAGTTTTCCCACCCTTTGGGATTTGAGTGCACGTCTATATGTACACAGAGTGAGTGCAGCAGATGTGCAAAATCAGGGCAAGTTACTTTTTTGTGCGCTACAGTATGGACGTGTAGAGGGAGGTGGTTTTCAAGTTGAAATGGGTGTGTCTATGTCAGTTTTGGGATTGGTGTATTGAAGCAATCTGACAGCAGCGAGTTTGTGATGTAATCAGTTCCTCCAGGCATATAATGCATGTCGTCTAGGACCCCAATGCAGCCCTACTACCGGCACCGCTTGTCTGTCCGAGGTCACTGCACTGTGAAATCTTCTTTTCACCCTTTTAATCAATCAAACCTGATTATTAGGTCACTATTTATAATTACTACTGAATTACAGACGGCAATATGGCAACACATTCCCACTGTGGATAAAAGTACAGAGTCATCTAAACATTACACCTACAGGAAATCCAGAAATGAAGCATGTGGGCTAATGTTAACACCAGAGGAGGTTTGAGACTCTGCAGTGTAAATGATGAATCCTCAGCATTTGGCAACCCTGCTCTGTCCCTAAATGCTTCCACTTTGGAACCACACCAGTTGAAGTCAACAATAAATTATTTAGGAGAGTAGGAATTTCACAAGCTCCCTTGTTGCCACAGTGCCATCTTATTACAGTACCAAGCTTGAATTGAAACAAATGTTAATTGAAGCAGACTGAATGGAAAGGTGCTTGATTTTACAGATCTATGGCAATGAGACTGAAAACACAAATTGCTATTGGTAAGAGGCGTGTGGGCCAGTACTTTTGGGTGCAAATTTCTTTTCATTCCCTATACTACTATACCTTTTGCCACAAGAGTAACAAGTCTTTTCTTGATAAATAAAAGCATGAAACACGAGCTGAAATATTTCATGAAAAGCATCGGAAAAATTTGAAGTTTTCAACCGTGCGGTTCATGTTTCATCTCCTGTTACTGCAGGTGTGCCATGAACGTAGCAGCTTATGCGTAGGTAAGCGAATCATATGTCTCTGCTGCGTTTCTTTTTCCCGCCACTGATGTGAAGATGTTGCTTAAATGTTAAACGGTAAAAGCATATTTAAAGCTTTGGGCAAAAATCTTTTCTTCTATGCCTAACTACAGAGATGAACAGCTAGCTCAATTAGTCATCATTAATAATTAATTTAATTGTTAATCAAGTAAAGATATACAATATTTTCATTCGACAAATGCTATCTGCTGATAAAACTCTTGTCATATAGAACACACCACAGTTTCCTTCAGCAACAGGTACTTCTAAGGTCTTTCTGACACAACAGCTAAACAAAATGCAAAACAATCCTAGTGCTGTGCTGTCAATGAAGAGTTCAAAGCAAATATCTGACAGCAGATTGAGCAACTACAGATTTTTGGATTCGGACCAACCATTTTTCCAAATCTAGCCTGAAGCAACAAAGGAGTCAAATACACATGTATTTCCCTGAATCACTGAGTACCTGCAGGATGAGAATGAAGTAGTCGACCGGCTTGCCCCTTTGGTAGATGTAGTGATGGGACGACCGCTTATCGTTCTCATTGAACTTGATCTCCTGGATCACATCGGGGTGACGCAGGATTCGCAGCAGCACCTTGTCTGAAATCTGAGATGGGTTGAACAAGCTCACCTCTGCCGAAAGAGAAAAAGCAGAACAACAGATATTTTACACCATTTATTAGTGAAGACTAAAGGACACTTTTTTTTTTTTTTTTAATGTAAGTACTCTTAAGTATATAGTCTGACCAAAACAGACCAAGGCATTTCTTAAAATAGTAAACATGAAATTAAACAGTGTTGGTTAATTTCATCCACATGTTAGGCCAACCTATAATTTACAGTCCAGCATAGACATAATGAAAACACAGGTTACTCAAGCTGAGTTTAAGGTGCATCATATGTCAGTAGGTAGGCCACCAACTATTCAATTAAAGGATCCAGATGTACTTAAATGAAAATCAACAATTCTGAAACTGCAGACAAACAAACACAATATGACACTATTGTGTTCCCCATGTGTGGCTCTTAACGCCTGGTGACAGCTGTAAGGTTTAAAGATTATTCAGGTAAGGACGAATTGATAATTACATTTTGTTCATGGTCCAACAATCTAATAAGATTTGCTTTTGCGACACATTTTTGTCAAAGGATTGTTTTTAAAATAATGTTAGCTTTTGAATAGTTGAATTAACTACAATTGAAACACTTTTTCAATGAAAAATAAATAAAGTTTTATAAAATAATACATTGTTTTGATAACTAGTGTTTGTTGAGCAAAAACGCTGCAGAGATGTTTAATGCATGGTGTCCTTGTTTGTTTGTTTTTTGGCATTCCTTTTTTTTTTTTTTTAAGTAAATGAGAAAGAAGAAGAACTGTTGAAATATATTTGGTTTACATGGATTTCTCAACCGTCAGGCTGTTGCAATCAGAGCTCAGCTGTAAGTGCTTTGGTCCCCACCCAAACTGCAAACAAAGCCATGGTCACTGCACACTGAGAAGTGAGGCATATATTGCCAATGTTGGAATTCATCATCGGAAAGGCAAACAACCTCCTTTCACTATGGTTTACATAGTTAGTCAGAGTGTTCATCTGTATTGTTGCTGTTGCTGGGATTCAGTGTTTTCAATGATTTGGTAAATCAAAGGTGTAGCTTTTAAATTTTATGTCTACTATTAATGGCTTTTAATATCCTTAAAAAAAAAAACAAAAAGCAAAGTCGTCAAGACTGGTGAAGCTAACAGTTATTAGTCCTTAAACCCACACGGAAGCATTTATGTGATAATGCACGTTCTACTGTCTGAAATGTGTCTGTCGACCATCAGTCATACTGCAGGAATGCAGCAGTGCACAAAGGCATTAGAGACATGTTCTCAAATCTGCTGGGAAAGAATCATTAATGTGAACATAACAAAGAAGGATCAAATAAACATGGAAACTTTAACACATTACAGAGATAAATGGAACAACAAAAAAAACTATTCCTGTTTGATGAATCAAAAAAGCAACATTAGACCAAGATCCTCAGAAAGAAAACAGAAACTAAGTCAGCAGACACTGACGTTATGCCTCCAGACAAAGCAGACGTGAATACCACAGTGTGTGCCAGGGAAGGAAGTGCTATGTCATGCTAGCAGTGGCTAACTGCCAGATGCAGTGGGTAACTGCCCGATGCAGTTAGCCACTGCTTCATATCAGCTAACACACACTTAGCAGATAGATTCCTACGACTTCTCAAGAGATGTGTGTCATTGGTAGCATTACATGCAGCTGGCTAGAGTCTGTCCAGAGTTGATGGCAGGCACAGGCAGACATGTTGATAGGTCTTAAATAGATCCTAAAAGTAAATAAATCACTCATCACTGCATGCATAGACCTGTCTTTCCTGTCAGATGGTCACATGACAGAATCCTTCACTTACCGACATCCCAAAGGTGTTTTTTGTGCATTTCATATGATAAAACAAAATAAAGTTACATTATGGTGGTTTTTTTGAAACACATCCATCAAAATGAAGGAAGCCTACCATAAATCTACTGAGTACACGTAACACTGCGATTACTGACAGTGAATGTGTGTCATTTCCTGTTTCCACACTTCCTTTCTCACCTGTAGCCAGGAAACGATGGGCAGCCAGCAGCAGCTGAGGAGAGATCTTCACCTTAGATTCACTCTCATGTTTAAAGGCAGAGAAGTCTCTCTTGTTTTTGTTGGGTGCCACCTTTTTCCTCGTGCGATTATCAGCTAAGAAGAGCAAAAAAAAACAAAAACAAAAACAGAAGAAGCAACATTTATTAATGATCAAATCAAATCAAATCACTTTTATTGTCACATCACATGTGCAGGTACACTGGTACAGTACATGCGAATGAAATTCTTGTGTGCAAGCTTCACATGCAACAGAGGTGTGTAAAAATACAATAACATAAGAACAGGCAAAGTATAAGAACGGGTAAATCTGAGAATTATATGAATAAATATATGTACAATATAAGAGTGTATGCGCATTACTGAATGTGTATACTAAATATGGATATCTACATGTGTGTGAAATTTACACTTCATTCAGTTAACAGAAACCTGACATTTGTCAGGTATTCATCCCAAAGGTTGAACAGTAAGACTTCAAAGATTTAATAGTGTTGCTTAAACTGAAAGTTAAGACAAATTTAGTATAAAGCGATAAAGCAAGACAAACAAAAGCAAAAGCAAACTCACTGTAAAGGTCGGATTCATCCAGAATTTCTGATTTGATAATCTCCTCTATGACGTCTTCCAGGGTGACCAACCCCAACACTTCGTAGAAAGGATCTCCTTCCCCCTCGTTGTTCACCTTCTGGACAATGGCCAGGTGGGATTTTCCTAAATCAGAGAATGAGCCTCATTAGTTGGATTATCAGAGGATTACTTTAACCATTCTGTAAGGCATTATAATTAAATCCACAAGAAGAAGGGTTGTAAGAATAGGGATAAAACACCTTCCCTCATTAATCTTCTAGATGTCCTATTGTAACTGATTAAAAACTTATATGAATTTAATTATAGAGTAGCAGGAGAGTAGGAGTAGGAGAGTTGCAACAAAGAGGTGCATGGAGCTCTTTTACAGACAGTATTAGTACCACACATGTTTTACTCGAAATTCCTTTCTCACTGTTTATGATCCATGTTTGGTTTCTTCTGTAAACAGAGTAAAAAAAAGATGAGGGAGGATAATTTGATTTGGCACTCGATAAACTGCACCTTAAATGATGTCAGCACCGCACTGCTACACAAACAGCAGCAGGGAACGATATCAAATCAGAGATAGGTAATAAAGTGAAAATGTAGTTATAATGTCAACAATGTAGTTATGCCTTAGTAATGCTGACATAATAAATTCAGGTTAACAGCTAAATATTGTTTCAGCTCTATTTAACCTCTAAAAAGAATATGCATGCTCACTGGTTCATTCATGCTCTTTTAAACGATCATGCAATATAAAATATCAATATTTTATTTTATTATTGTATTAATAGTTTTTTTTCAGTCATAGTTATTGAGGGTGAAAAAAAAACATATTTGCGACACAACGTCTAGCTTTATCTTGCAACATAAAAGCCCGTCAGAGTCTCGCTATCAAGACAATCATTTCGGAGTATTCCTATCTGATAACAACTTTTTTCTAACATGAACTCCTCGACCCACACCTTTTGCTTGCACCACAAATAGCCTGTTAATGTGTACAGGTCATTGCAGTTAAAGTTAGGTCCGAACTTTGGTCGTGAATGTTACTGTACAACATAAGAACACACGTACACAATGAGACATGTGTCCCCTGCTCAACTCCTAAAATGAAGAACCCGTCACAGTGCAGATGGTCACTGGTTGGCAGCAGTGCCAAACAAGCCTTGGGAAGCTCTGAATTATTCACCACCCTGACAGAGAAGCATCAGAGAATAGTAGCAATGGTCCCCAAGTGGGTAAATTCCTTGACTCTACCCAGAAGAACCAAAATTGGCAGGAAAAGTCTCAATGACTGACAAACTCGAGCCTTTATTCAAATAAAGGCATACAAACTCTGATGGCTGACAAAGTTTATTCTTTCCATTGATTGGTCAGTTCAATAAAATGAAGAGGGGGAGAAGCTAATGCTACAAGACAAAAAGCACATAAATAAACCAATAACAGGGGTGGGGGAACTCCAGGCCTCGAGGGCCGGTGTCCTGCAGGTTTAAGATGTTTCCTTGATCCAACACAGCTCATTTAAATGGCTAAATTAGCTCCTCAACATGTCTTGAAGTTCTCCAGAGGCCTGATAATGAACTAATCATTTGACTCAGGTGTGCTGACCTAGCGTGAGAGCTAAAACCCGCAGGACACCGGCCTTTGAAGCCTCGATTTGGCCAAGCCTGCAATAAATGTTTTTGAACAGCTAGAGTCTTGACTGTACCCAGCTGTGATGCAACAACCTGAAGAGGGCCCTCAAGACATCCCATAAATACAGATGAAACAATTTTGTTGGGGTGAATTGTCATAAATTTCTCCTTTCTGTTATGCTGGTAAAAGATAGATAAATAAAAGTTTTGATCAGAAGGTTGGTGGTTCGATCCCTGGCTCCTCCAGTCTGCATGTCAAGTATCCTTCGGTGTGGATGTGTGTGAATGTACTTAGAAAACACTATGTATAGAGAAAGTGCTTGTGAGAATGGGTGTGATTGGGTGAATGTGGCGTATTATGTAGAGTGCTTTGAGTACTCCAGGAGAGTAGAAAAGCGCTATATAAGAATCAGTCCATTTACCATTTAACTTACTTTTCCACCCCACATAACTTCAAATCCAATGTGTTTAATAACAACTGGATAGAGATGTGTTATGTCAAAGTTGGACTCAAATCCTTATTTTTCTTGCATATATAACATAGAGATTGACATGCAAATTGCTAGTTTGCAGTACTCCATCTCTCACACAGTCATACACACACAAGCCATTAAGAGATTAGATCTGAGCTGCTGGCTAACAACTCTGACAATTTAATTCCTAAATAAAAGGCGAGCTATCTTCACGGTCAATTAAATAACATTTAAATAACCATCTGCTACACTATAAATACAACATTTATTCACATTTTTCACATAACTTCAAGCTTTTAAGCTGTGATAAAGGATGAAACACTAGAAGAGGCTCTGAATGCGAGAAACCACACAGGTCCATCAGTGGTCTTTGTCGGGAAGCGTGTGATGAATGGAATTTACAAATGACCAGCGATTAAATGTAGACCAAAGGCACTGGGATTTTCCTCTCCGGGAGCATGTCCTTGCTGTTTGTCCTGCAAAATGGATGCTGCTGGCACACTGACACACACTTCACAGTCTCAGCTTTGACCTTGCCTGGTTTTAACTCACGATTAAAAATAAAGGAGCTTTGAAGAATGTGTCCCACTAGGCCGGCTTTACAGTAAAAGTCATTGATATGAAGACATGGCAAGTAGGGGTGGGTGGATGATGTCTGTCTACTTAGTTTGGATGCTCATGAGGAAGCTCAACATTCAATTCAATTCAGTTTTATTTATATAGCGCCAAATCACAACAACAGTCGCCGCAAGGCGCTTTATATTGTACAGTAGATTCTACAATAATAGATACAGAGAAAAACCCAACAATCATATGACCCCCTATGAGCAAGGACTTTGGCGACAGTGGGAAGGAAAAACTCCCTTTTAACAGGAAGAAACCTCCGGCAGAACCAGGCTCAGGGAGGGGCGGAGACCGGTTGGGGTGAGAGACGGAAGACATTGTTCAATGTCAGCTCACAGAAATTGCAAGCAGTTCTCATCTTGGCAGGATCTCATCTTGAGTCATCATTTATCTATCACAATATTTTATATGTTCCCTTTTGTGGGTTTCCCACGCAAATTCTTCCTGATTACATTTTCTCAACTGTATGGGAAAATGAAAGAAACAAAAAAGTGTTATGACTGAAAGAAAAAGAAGCCGTAAAACTTTGAGTTTGAGGTAATATGAGAGCAGCTTAACTAACTTCAAAAGTAGCTATCCTACCCACTTCAGCACTTCAGTTGTATCTTTTCTTTAGTAATTAACATTTTAGCCAACCTCTAATTAAAATAACAAACTCAGTAGTGTTTTATAGTTTTAAGAAACCTCAATAGAAAAGATAAGTTAATCGCTTTATTTTTAGCCCTGTATCAATTACTGGACTGTGCTTGAGTCGATCTGCATGATTTACAGTTCAGTATGATCCTTAACCATCCTATAGTGGACCTTGGTTCCCCCCCCCCTCCCTTTTACATCAACTCTCTTCTGAGTGGCTGCCCCTTGAAAACAGAAGATTTGAAGAGGTGATGGGCGGGGCTTCTGTGCTCACTCAGAGCTGCAGAGATCACCATATTATCTATAACTGTTCTCTGTGAAACTATCCCGAAATATGAGTGGAAAAAATGTTGGTAACAGAGTGGTTTGGGTATTTGAGAAGTATACATTCTTTAGCTGATTATTGCTCTTTCCACAGAAGATCACTGCAGCAATGAAAACAGAAGCACTGTAATGGAAAAAGATGCTCCGTGTGTGTGTGTGTGTGTGTGTGTGTGTGCGTGCGTGCGTGCGTGCGTGCGTGCGTGCGTGCGTGCGTGCGTGCGTGCGTGCGGTGTGAGACCCCACACTGTATTGGCAAGTCAATATTTCAGAGGAAGTAGGACCCCAGGAGATACACTTAGCCCCAGTTACTTGAGAGTCACTGGAGAGTCTACTGACTCCTCAGAGTACAGATATTAACAGACACGAAAAACTTTGCACACAAGGAGGTTCATCCGAACACTGGCTGCTTAATGCATTCATTATCTGAGCTGTGTGAGCTGAGGCTACGGTTAAAAAAATAAACACACGTAGCTACTATCCGTACCATCTGTCTGCCCAGCTGATCTTCTTTTGAGATCTGTCACAAAAGAAAAAAAAAAAAAAAAAAAAAAAAAAAAGAAAAAAAAAAAAAAAGAGGATAACAGAGCAGCATCCTCACCTCAGGCTCCCACAAAAACACTCAGATCTCACTTATCAAATGGTGAATCAGAAATGGCAGCAGAGTGTTTCTAATAAAAATCCATCCCTCTGTCATTGTTTTACACAGAGACACTGTTACATTGAAGTGATAGTTGACACCTTAGGAGCTCCTTGACTTTGACAACTTAAAAACTTTAGACTTTGACTCCCCCCCCCAAAAAATGACTTAAATTATTTTATTTAGTAAAAGTGAAAATACAGCCAGAAATTTCTTCCTGTTAAAAGGGAGTTTTTCCTTCCAACTGTTGTCAAGCGATGCTCTTAATCTGATTGTTATAGTCTTCCCTGTATTATTTTAGGGTTATATTGCACCTTACAATATGAACTGCCGTGAAGCAATTGTTGTTGTGATTTGGTACTATACAAATTAAATTAAACTAAATTAAAATTGAATTGAATAAATAATACAACAACCATGGGAAAAACTGAGGTTAACTGAGTTTCTCATAGTCTTGGACATGTGAAAATGGGGTGGCAGAGAACAAACTCTGAATTCAGTGATTTACAAGTGACTAAACAGATTTAGCACTCAGCTATTACAGGTAACAAGGTAATTTCTTATGCAATATCGATAAAAAAGTGTCAGTACCGTTCAAATCTATGCAATATTTATTGGACAACTGTACAAATATATCAGCTACCAGCCCAGGTTGGTTTTTCTGGACGTTTTGTCTTTAACTTTGCTAATTTAGTGATTTACCCTACCCTGAGAAATCACAATGGTTAGCTTATAAAATGCAGTTAAGTAAATGTCTAGCCAGTGCTGTGTTGTGGAGACCTTGTTTGTGTGGTTAAAGTTAAGTGCTGGTGAGTG